ATCATTGAGGACATTTCCAATTCCTAACAACCAAACTTGAAAAAGTAAATTCATATTTTATTTCAAACTGGAATCAGTATTTGTGAAACTTATGATACAAGGACACCAGAACAACCGTTCTGGTATTCTCTATGACAACGGGGGATGGGACAAGTCAAAACAAATAATCGAAATTTTTTTCCTCTGCAAGTTCAAATTCCGTAATTTGCTGTTCATCACGCTCCGCCCAGACAACAATGTGTTGCATAGAACAAAAAGGCAAACAACACAAAGAACCCAGCAAAAATACCACTTAACATTTCGATCAGATTAGGTGGTACACGTTCTGGATTTGTATTAAATCTAGGAAAATTAAAGAAAGACAATAAGTCTGTACACGTCATTACGTCATTGTTTGTGTGTGTGTTCATAACGGGTGGATGAGGAAGAAATACACGCATAGAAAAGGAAAACAATCCGCTCCAATTTTATGGAACAGGGTTTTGTAGGCTTACACAGTGGATACACCGTGATGTGGAATGAAAGATAAGGGATCTCAAAACGAGTCACAGTGCTATGCGCCTAAAGCCAGGAACTAACTCATAAAGCCGGCGAGGCAAATCGCCGGTCGAAATTAAGAAAAAGGCTTATGAGGTGAATGGAAGTGGAACATGACTTGAGACTTGACTTTTGGGAACACATTTCTGTCATGATCAGATTCGGTCAAGTAAATCAAAACCTCATGCCTCTCGATTTGCTAATAGCATCCAGCAGCCATACACTTATTCAGGTGAGAATATGACTACTGCTATCTTGCACAAAAAAGGAAACAATGAGACCAAACTGTCTTGTATTACACTGTGTTTGGTAGAGCAAGTTGAAGATGCATAGCCTCGGTAACGCGTAGGCTGTTGTCGGTAGAGGTGTCCGTTGATCAATCATTCACTCTTGTGAGGCTGAAGATCGTCAACATGTATGGCTACAATTGTTTACTCACCCCTCTTCCTCATCTTTACCAACAGTGCCTGTTTATCAACTCGTTGTGCGCTTCATCATCTCGGCCCAATTCAAAACAATCAGAAGAACCTGTGCAAGACCATGTTCTGGAACTTCACCAGTGGATCACAGAACATCTAATACAGTCCGAAAAGCACATGACCAGTCGAGAAACTGAGGATCGTCCATCTGTGGCTTTGAGTTTGGAAACATTTGTTTCTCGGCTAGGGCGCCAATGGGATAGGTTCAAACAGTGGACAGAACGAATGGATTGCGCAATCAGACAAAGCGACGCCGCTCTGGAACAAGCACTAAACGTGAGCTATCCCTTTGGAAGACAATGGCTGTTTTTATGCTCTGCTTTGGTCGGGTGAAAGTGTATATTCCATTCGCATGGTTATTTCTCCCTTTACCATACACATTTGTCGATAGATCGCTCAGTAATTTCTAAAACCGCACATGGATGAAAATTTTAACGTTTGCGAATCGCACGCACAATAGTTCTAGGAACGATCGTTTCAGTACAGCTTCTCTTGGGCACAAGTGTAAGCCCTGACAGCTATAACAGTCAAATCACTGCAACCAAGGTTGATATATATATATAACTTAATAATCTCCCAAGGAGTGAAACTCACTCCCAAGAACATCAAGAATGCCTGGTGACTCTCAACAATCGAATGGTCTAATCCAAGCTTGCTACCCTAAAGTTTGTGGGAACTTATTTGTTTTGAGAAAGGAAAAATTAACACCATGGATCGTTTTCTGGGGCTGATTCCGCCTTCGGACCGGATGTGAAATTCTCAGTGGTCACAAATAATAGGTTATCCGGCCGTTGGGACTGCTTGTGAGGTGGGCCAGGGGCGATTAAACACCTGCACAAATTTTTTTGGAGCAGATGAATGGGGGTTGTGCATACGAATTCCCATGGCTTCCACTGCAGCCAGCATACGACATCGAACTTGCCTCAACAGTCGACCATGAACCCGATACAGGAGACCGAATGCCTCGGTTACATTCACAATGTGGTTTGTTTCAACCAGGTGTGAAACCACGTGAGAACCAGAGCTCTTCTTCTATTGCGTCCTGACTACAGATCTTCCTTAATCTATCTGCTAGGCATCCGACTGAATTCCTCCCTATTCTGAATGGTACACAGCTGTGAAAATGAATATATTGGCCCTTCCAAAGTGAATCTTATGTTCCATTGAACCGCACTGAACTTACTGAATAGCTCGTTTGCTCTTGGTGTCATGCTGATCATGCCAAGAATACTATCCACATATCGTGTGTATAACAGACAATGTTGAATGGAATTGGCGGACAACGGTCCCAGCGGTGACCCATAACCACACCATCCGTTGTCGATAAATCTACCCGTTCAACTTAAAACGAACGTTGTTTGTGCAAAAATAAAGCAGTTGTTTCAGGTATTTCAAAGGCAGGGGCCTATCTCAACATTGTTAGTTTGTACACAACTACACAGGTGTTAGATTGAACATTCTGATTGAACATTATTGAAGAGTGAACTAATGCCCAGTGAAAGCATTGTCCGACCCATAAAATTTAAGTCACGAATGCTGTTCAGGATTGGGATTGGGGATAATACGTGAGTAGTTTGTAGCCAAATGATTTATCAATTTGTTGAAACTAGAAGAATGACATCAATTGGCTTATTTAGTGTACGCTGAATCGAAAGATATAAGTTAATTAGAATAAGTGTGTTCAACTCAATAAACACTCGCATGAAAGTGAAATCATTCACTAGAAAGAAGAATGTTGCACGCTGCTTTACATGAAAGGGTTGCCTCAGTCATCATTTATAAAAGGCTCGGTTGAAGTCAATTTTTATTTATTACATAGGATAATGGCATGAATAAATATAATTTAGGATAGCATGTAAAATAACAACATGGAAGATAACAAGATTGCATAGAAGCATATGAAATATACATGACTGACCTGTGAAATAACTCTGGTGGAATAGAGCATCTTAGTTACTTGAAGATAACTAACTGTCCATAACCCGTAAAAATATAATTTACAAAATAAACCCTGATGACTGATACTGTGAAAACGGGATCCAGGGTTCAGTATCCTAATGGTTAATGTGTTATGCCACTTATCAGTTCAAAAATTACGGTTCGGCACTAAATCATCATCATTGACATCTTGTTGATTTGGTTTCCCTACTTCAGATATATCCGGGATTGGCTATGCTACACCCGGACGAGTTGATTCATGTACTTGGACACTGGACCGTACCGTTTACGGACTATTGCACTAATCCGGGAAAGCACAATAGACTGTTCATCAGTACTGATGGGGTATTTGCTCCGAGCGACTATGTGGAGCACGTCAGTTGGCAGCGTGGTAACCCGACGGAACAACGATTGCACATCCGTATGCATTGGCTGCACACAGACGTGTTGCGCCGTTTCGCTCACCACGTGAAACTGGTGTTTCCCGTTGTACGACAACTTCGACTGCAGTGGATTTCCAATCCGGGTTGTTGGGAGGCAAGTTGCACTCTGCCTGTTTCGACAATCGGTGCCACACTCCGATCGCGAGATGGTTGTTCTTGATTTTATCTGGTTGCATGGACGCGCTGCACGAACCTAACCGATTCGTAGGGAACAATGCAGTTGATCTAGCATAATACGGTTTGCTGCAACAGTTAGTGTTTTCCATGTGAATAACGATGAACAGAAGAATCCTGTTTTACAGTGAAATATCTGCTAGTTACTTTCACTGTCTCCATCATACATATTATCAGTTGCGCAGATTAGTAAGTATAATATTTACCAATTTATCAAATTATTCGTAGTTAGATATGGCCGTCGAATGCAATCACCCCAGTGATTCGTTACATTTTTTATTGGTCTATGGTCTATTGATCATTTGTGTATTTGGGACGTAGATATTTAACAAATCATTCATTACCCAATGCTACCAAGTTGCGAAGAAGCGTTAACTTTGCTGGGTAGGAAAATGAAGGAGCTTCATCTGTTTTACCTGTGTTGGTTGTCAGAGCATGTCGCCTCGTTTCGGCAGCCGGATTGTGGAATAGGTCAGCAACAGTCAAGCAGTCACCAATATCATTATCAGAACAACAACAACAGCGATTTAGTGTGCTCGAATCCCGTCACCAACTTTCTGTTCTTTCTTTCTGTTATTTTAATTTTTACTTCCTTCTGTTGAATATGTATACGACGCAATGTTCAGAAAGGGGGAAGCGGCCAATAAAACAAGGCTGCCATACACACACAATGGGGAAAGTTGGCAAGCGGTGTATTGTATTGTTTTGTATTTGTAACTTTTGTAAGCATATATGCTTACATTTCAGTTAAAAAATGTACATTGTTCGACGCGCAGAATGAAATAAAAATAATCAAAACAAAAGGTCTACAAGGTCGATGATATACGTATCATGTACAAAGCATGGGACGTAGTTCGTTTGAGACCTGTTCCTTTTTGGTAAGCAGTCGGGCCAGGTAGGGTACAGGGGAATTTTTATAAATGTTAATGCGAGAGGGTAGCTGTCGAAATGAGGAGCGTGTGAACGAATGGGAACGACAAGATGATAGATCAGGGTGTAGTGGATGAAGAGGGTCGTCTAGAATCTTGTGAGCAAATTTAAAACAAGAGTTGATGTGACTATCAATGAGATCTGTGATTAATAAACCAATTGGGATTAATGATGCACTACTGATTATCACCAAACCGCGGCGAATTGTTTTGAAGTCGTGTTTTAAAAGACTGGGAAACACTACACGGGAGCAGTAAAGTAGAATGGGTAAAACGCATTGCTGAACGAAAGATGATAGGACTGATTGTGGGGTTCGGAATTGCCTGAGTTTGCGTAACTGAAAGATAGGCGTCTCAGTTTTTCCACAGTTTTAAATATGTGTAGACCAACGAAAATTGCTGTCGATGGTGACACCCAGGTACTTCACTGAGGTCATTCTAGATACAGGTTTATCGTTAAGAAGAGCAGAGTCCGTTGGAACTGAGGAGAGGGAAAGACTGAAAATACACTCTACGCACTTAAATATATTAAGAATGAGACCAGATTGGTCAGAAAACTGTTGGATATGAGATAGGTTTTCGGTAAAAGAATGAAAGTCCAAGGGAGATGAAATTGTCTGAGACAAAATTACGTCATCAGCATAATTTTGGATGTGCTCAAGGAGTGGGACCGAAAGATCACTAATAAAGGCAGACAAAAGATATGGAGATAGAACAGCATCTTGAAGAACACCAGAATTATTAACAAGAGGTTTTGATGTCTTCCTTCCTAATTTGGTTCACTGGACCCTCTGTGTAAAATAGTCGGCAAGCCATGAGAGCAGCTGCTTTGAAGTGCCAAAAGATTCAAGTTTGAAAAGAAGGGATGATCGAGAAACAGAATCAAACGCAGACGAATAGTCAAGAAAAACACAACGGACAGACTTGACCGAATGGTTCAATGACTTGCAGACAAAATGCACTAGAGTGAATACGGCGTCCAATGTAGACCTGTTTGGTTTATATGCAAACTGAAGGGGGTCATGGGGAATTGTGGTGTCTGACTGCTACCGACTCAGGATGGCTTTTCCAGTTACCTTTAGAGCCTCTGAGGTCAACGCGATAGGACGAAACCGTTTCGCAAGAACAGTTTAGGATGTGGATTTGAGGATCGGAATAATGGTCACTGGACGCCGAGAATCAGGAATCGATCGGAAAGATAGGGACTCATTGACGATGGATGTCATCATACTGGTTAGGGAAGCTGCTCCGAATTTCGGAAGTGCCGGAGGAAGACCATCAGGGCCTGCTGCTGAGGATGCTTGGCAGGATTGAAGAAGCTTAAAGATTAAATTATTGATAAAAGGCACAGAACTAGATTCATTGCATAGGAATGAAGGAATCTGGCTCTCGTTTGACGTTTGGGTGAAAGCGGTGTTGAGGCTGTTGACATCCACGGAGGTTATAGAATGTTTTCTGTTCTGCCCACGGAGAAGGCGAATACCTTGCCATGAGAGCCTGGTGTTCTTTGTTCGCAGAATTTGGGCGGCGAAGATTGCATTGAAGTATGTTATCTCGGACCTGATTAACTCAGAATAGTGATTTACAAGTGAGGCGAGACGAGATTTGTAGGCCAGTTCTTTGTACCTTCTCAGTGATTTTAAAAAGGGCGAGGTGATTCTGCTGTTACAGACAAACAAGGTTTTCATTGGGCAGCACAAGTTAAAGATTGATTTAATCGTGTCAGTGAACAGATTGATAGATTTAAAAAGCGAAGGACAAGAACCAAACACAGATTGAACGATCACAATAGAACGGTTGAGAAGAGAGAGAACGGTTGGATGAAAAGTCCCTCAGATTAAACGTTATCTGAGTAGAACGTGTGAATGCTTGATAAGAAATGCGAGAGTATACCTTAGGTCTAACAAGAAGAATACTATGGTAACTGATAGAAACCGGGGCCATTAGTTTGAGAGAGAATAAGTTGGGAACGTTTGCGATGTTTTGGTTTAGCCATGTTTCTTGCACACAGAAAACACATGTGTTGGAATTAATGCGTGTTCAGAATAGAGGTTAACTCCGAGATCTTTGCGACTAGTGAGCGAACGTTGGTGCTGACCAATGGTGGCACAGTCATCTTGGTAGGTGTGCGAATAAGTGCAATCTGCCATCCGGCCCGTCGGCGTTTTTTGATCAAAGGGTTTTATGACTCTCACCAAGAAAATAATCAGTGGACAGCACAGAATATACAGATTTTAGTCGTAGCATGTCCTGACGAGAATATTTGTAGATCCTGGTCATGATTAGCACCGTTGTATGGATGAGTTAAATTCCAACGTGACGAACAAGCACGAGAGTGTAGCGCAGCTAATCGAAGGGCGCGCCAATTGGTGGTGGGATTCCAACACACGTCCTCGAGGGTGATAATTTGGTGATGTCACCATCGGGTCGCCTCCGCCCCATCAATGTTTATTCTAAGATAGCCGCTGATTAACTAGGTCAGATAAGCCCTGTTTGTCTCCCTGGCTGGGGACCCCGAGATCGTGGTCGCCGATGGTTAGAGACACTGATATAGATGGCTAGGTGTCGCAAACAGTGGCGCTCGTGCATCCACTCATTATTCTCCTAACACCACTCTCTATGAATTCTCCATCTCCCGCTTCAATTTGCTTTCAACACTCCAATCTGCATTCTGCTCTTTTATCCAACTGCTTCACCAAAACACAGCAACCAAAACTGGCACACGAAAGTGCATGGTTAATAGCTGTAAAAACTGAAACTAAAATGACTGATTAAATGAATCAAACTTCAGAGAAATTTATTTTTTTACACAGTCCCATCGAATTTATTTATACTTGTATATTTTCTTCGGTGTGACGACCAGTATACAGTTTGTAAGCATATCTCTGCTTGTAAGAGTTATACAAATACAAATGCTCTTTCCTGTTCATCTCCCGCACTGTGCGGAGTAAGTCTGTTCCGAAGCCATTCGTTAAGCACGAGACGCTCATTGAATTGATGGATAACGTTGTTGTTGACAGGTTTGCGGGTTGATCGGGCTGAATGAAGCACATTTGGATTTCGAACAGCCCCTCCGTTGGTCCCCATCCGCTGCGCATTGGTTGATGAATTTTGCACAAGCTTTGCAAAATGCATCATTGTCGCGAATTGTGGCCTATTTGGACCAACCGGAATTCCGAATACCGACCGGAGAGCAAAA